TAGGCGGTCTCTCAAGTACCCAGATCCAATACCATGAAGGGCTTTGTAGGTGACAAGTAGCACCTTGAAGCACACCCGGAGATCAACAGGCATAAAAATACTGTAGTTGCTGTTTGAAAGTTGGAGGCTCAGATCTGCATAGGATTAGACTGAAGACCCAGTTCAGGTAAAACTTTGTCTTGTGGGAAAAAGAAACCACAGGAAAGACATAAACCAGCCACAAAGCCTATGTTCATGCTGGCTTGAGCATCCTTGCCAATAATAATCCAGGACTTGGAGGTCCTGTAAGACTCTCAAGTGAAAACAGGAGGAGTCAAAAGCCGTGGGCCTCTGCCCAGTTTGCCCCGAGGGCTGCGGAAGCCAAGATTCCTGGCTTAAAAGTGGCAAGAAATCCAGTGGTTCTCTGGAAGTCCTGCAGATTTCAAGAAGCAGCCTCTTTCCAGGAAAACGAAAGTAACATCCTGCTTTCATTCTCCCATCACTTATCTCAACCTGATCAGCTTCTAATGGGATTTCCAAAAAAGGCCTTATTGGAATCTGGGACGGTGAAGCAAGGACTTTTGCTGGAAAGCCTCTTGTGAGAGGGAGGGAGGGAGGGAGGGGCAGGGGACAGAGAGGACAGAGAAAGGGGGGGGGACCAAAGGCAAAAGTGGCATCTACTGAGAAGCAGAACAGGGACAGCTGCTCTGTTCCCAGTTATGGAAACACTGAAGTTTTTTTTGGGAGGGGGCAGAAAGGACTCCCTGGGCCTGACACCCCCCCCCCTACTCAGAGCAGCAGTGGATTATTGGACACTCCTGACAGGATCTCCTACATTATTTCACTGCTCTGCTAGGCCCTTTCCAGAGAAAGTGAGGAGAGGAAGACCCCCACCCCTTCTTATGAAAAGATCCCCGGCTCCTTCAGCCTCTGCTGGAAATTAAGTGGCAGGACAGCCAGGCAGCCCCCTGGTCCAGCCCCCTGGTATAGGATGGGAGGGGGCTGCCCATCAGCTACCGGCCCTGTGAACAAACTCTCTGCCGGATAACCTTCAACTGGGGGGGGGGCGCACCGGGTGGCCTTTATTCTCCAATTAATCCCTGTTGATTTATTGATCCAATTTGNCTGGGCCAAAGGAAGAGGCTCAACCGCATGGAGTGGTGGCAGCAACAGGGGGGAGCCCCTCGGCCGGGCGGGCAGGAGGCCCCATGGGGCAAGCCAGGCGAGAGCTGGGCCAGGCGCAGACTGCCTCCGGCTGCTTCCCTCGCGAGCCCAACGGAGCAGATTGTGGGGCATCTTTGCAAGCTGAGCCCTTATGCCAGGAGGCTCAGGGGATGCCCCACAGCTGGACTGTTGTTCCCTCTGCCTGGGCATTCAAACTGGAGAGGGGTGAGGCTGCCCACCCGTCCCACCCCTTGGCCCAGGTCCCTCCCCATCACAGGTTGCCCCTGCCTCAGACCACCCTCAACTCTGGGGGGGGGGGGAACAGGCGTCCTCTGCTGGCCATGCGCCTTTCCTTCTATTCAATTTTCATGGCATGAATTTACACGGACTTTACAGTTTTTCTGGATTTATTTTTACACTGCATATGGATTAATTTAAAGACAAGCCCCTTCCCATTGGTACCTCTGTACATTTCGCTCCAAAATACGACTCAGAGGTCAAAGAAAATGTTTCCCTTCTACTCGTAAATATTTTTGCCCGCTCAACCCATGCCAGAAGGCCTCTGATGGGGGAGTCCAGGGGTCTCCGGCCAAGAGGGAAAGGCCCCTCGGGTCTGAAACTGGCGCCATCCCTTCCCCAAACGGCCAGAGTGGGGGGGGGGTCAAGGCCGCCACCGGAGGAGCTTCGGCCAATGGCTTCGTACTGGGCGCTGGAGCTTCAATCGCCAAGCCCTCCCGAGCGGTGCGAAGGGTCGCTAGAGCCAGAGGAGGGTCGTGCATGGGAGCGAGATCCCTTCCCCGAAGGCTTCTGGCTCTCGTCTCGCCCCGCCCGGCGCTGGCAGTGAGGGCATTTTGCACCCCCGGCTCAGCTTCCGTGGGTCACTTCCTCATCTGCCCCCCCAACGGCGCTGAGAAAGGGGGGCTGGCCGTGGGGGACCATCTGCAAGGGCTGGGGGAGGACCCCAGCAGAAGAGCCCACCGGCCAAGCTGGCGTCGGAGCGCCCCCTCCGCTCTCGGGCACACAGGACCCCCCTCCCGACACGGAAGTTGCCTACCGGGGTGGCGGGCAAAGGGGAGCCAGGAAGCGCGACCCTCGGCCTCTCAAGCCCCCTCCCTCCCCCCGAGCCGCGGGAACGGCGGCAGGGAGAGCCCCCTCGTGCCCTCACTCCCGGCCCCGAAGCTTCGGCCCCGTCTCTCCGCCCAGCCAGCAGCCACTCACCGCGCCCGAGGCCAGGAGGAGACGCCGCCGCCCCGCTCAACGGGCAACTCTCGGCCGCCCGAAACAACAGAAGCGGCCTCTGCGCGGGCTCCCATTGGCCGCTGCGTCACGCGACTCTGCCGCGCTCCTCCAATCGGCGCGGGCCGCTGGAGCGTTGAAACTTTTGTATCTTTTCTGGCTCTTTTTCTCAATGGGGGAGGCGCGCGCGCGCGGGCGGAGATGGGGGGGAGGAGCTATTGAAAGCAGCCAGCAACGGCGGAGCAGACCCCTCCCCACCCCCCACCCCATCCAAACATCCATCCAATCATTCACACATCAGGCAGGGGGGGGGAGGCAGGAAGCCACCCACCCACCCACTCATCCATCTATCAGATCATGCATCCAATCATCCAGGCAGGCAGGCAAGGATGAAGGCAGCCAGGAGCCAGCCTGCCAGCCACCCATCCTTCCATCCTATCATCCATCCAATCATGCAGGCAGGCAGGCATGCAAGCAGGAATGCAGCCAGCCAGCCAGCCAGCCATCCATCTAATCATCCACCCATCCATCCATCCAGGCAGGCAGGCAGGCAGGCAACCACCCACACAAGCTCCAGCTTCCTCCCTCCCTCCCCCTCTTTCCAGCTGCCCACTGAAGGCAACAGATGTGCTGGCCAAGATTATTAGGAATGGCCCACACATTAATGTGGAGCCCAGTGTGGCAGGAACAGGCTGGAGTAAGTAATGACCACATTCCTGTCAAACGGCCTCTCCTCTGGTCAATATTTAGACTGAAAGCTCCTTGGGTGTCCTCTGGCCTCCATCCTGCACACCCCAATGTGTCTGTGGGTCCAAAAGACCAGAGGTGGCTCAACAGCTTCACTTCCTGATGTTGCCAGGCCTCTGGAGCTGATGAGGGAGGGAGGGAGGGAGGCCATTCAATCGCCCCAATTTCCTTCTCTCAATTAAGAAGGTGTGCTAATTCATGGGTCTCTTCTTCCTTGTGAATCAAGATCATAATAACCTGATAATTAATGGTGGCTCTTCCTGTTTGCCAGAATGCAGAGTCTCACTCCCAGCCTCTCTGGCCCTTTTGCCAGCCGGGGCACCTGAAGGAAGCGCAGGCCAGGAAGGCTGGAGTGGAAGGGGGCATCCAGGCCACTCTCAAATCACTCTTCTTATTCAAAGGAATTTCCCTGTGTGAAGGGGTGACTGGGGATCATTCTTCTCTGCCTGGGGTGGGAGGGGGGCAGTGGGCAAGGGCCCCCTTGGGCAAAGGGGTCTCTCAGCCAAAGCACAGGAGGAGGGCATTGAGGGCATTTGCACACACAGAACTAAACTTGGCTTCCCAGCTTGCGTGGAGACAGGCAGAAAAGCCGGCTGTCTAATTTTAGCCTGGCGTGGGCGTTGCAGTCTAGATTAAATCCCCATTTCATCTCATTACGCCTAATGAGTTCACAGTTCTTCCTGCAACCTAATAGTCTTAAAGCACTTAAAAGCTGATTTATTCACACCACAGCCACCCACTTCCCTTCTCTTCTTTGCCCTGGAAAGGTTTTTGGTTCTAAATAGGGCTGCCTTGCATGGATTTGGTCCCCTCCCCTCCGGCCAGGCCCTGCTGGGGGGGGGGGGGGGGGCTTGCAGTTCGGTCTCTGCAGAGATCCACTCCAGCCTCACCTTGGCTGAGCTGCTCCGTTGAGGAGGAGCCGTTTCAGGGGACTCAGGTGGAGAAAGGGGCTTTTGCCCCAACAGCCTCCTCCTAACCTCCTGGCTCTCAGCTCAGTAGGTCCAACATGGGTGTGAAGTAACCATCCTCTGCTACCAAATGTGACGTTCCCGTGGTTCGTCCATGAGGCCAATGTGGAGAAAAGACACGGACATGAACTTTCTCGAGATGGAGCGACCCAGATTGGGGGTCTGAGAGCCCCTTTTATTGAGATAGGACAAAGGCAGGAGGAGCAATCAGCAATCAGCATGTGATTAAAGACAGCCTGTCAAACTACAATTGCTAATCTACTGCTCAGGGAAGTTCTGTCTATATATGGTCATATCCTGAGTGTCATTGGGTAAGGCACGTCTAGAGTGAACCTCAGGATGTTATGTTCTACTATCAGGATGTTATGTTGTACTATCAGGATGTTATGTTGTACTATCAGGATGTTCTGTACTTTAGGAGTTTGTTTTTTCC